AAAAAACCGGGAAGGGCTATCGACACATATTGGTGGTGATCGACGCGTTCACCAAATTTGTTAGACTTTATCCGTGTAAGTCTATCACGATAGAGGAGTCGTTAAAGCACCTGGGTGAGTACTTCCGTTCGTACAGTAGGCCGAAGCGTTTGATTTCGGACCGGGGAACTTGCTTTACGTCCGACACGTTTAAAGAATTCCTCAAATCTAGGGCAATCGAGCAGGTGCTCACGGCTGTGAGTACACCGAGAGCCAACGGGCAGGTCGAGCGATATAACCGCGTAATAAGTCCGATGTTAGCCAAGCTGAGCGAGATTCCCTCAAGGTGGGATCGCGCTCTGGATCGGGTAGAGTTCTCTATCAACAACACTATTTGTCGCGCGACGGGGGAGACCCCGGCCCGCTTACTGTTTGGGCTCGAACAGCGAGGAGAAGCGAACGATGCGCTGCGCGAATTACTCGAGCAAGATCAAGACGAGAGACGCGATCTCGAGTCGCTCCGACACAAGGCTCAAGCGAAAATTGACGAGGTGCAACGCGAAAGCGCCAAGCGTTATAATTTAAGGCGAAAGGCCGCACGCGAATATAAAGTCGGCGACTATGTCGAGATCCGCAATGTAGAAACGACGGCCGGCATTAATAAAAAACTAATACTAAAATTTAAGGGCCCATATACTGTTAAAAAGGTATTAGACCACGATCGATACGTCGTCGCCGACATAGACGGCTTCCAAATGACTCAGCGACCGTTTACTGGCGTGTTCGCGCCGGATCAAATGCGCCCGTACATACATTAATTAAAAGCATGTAACCTTTTATTTTATTTTACTTGACGAGCGATAGTCGACTTGTGTCTTTGACCGGGTCGGCCAAAAGGTCAGGACGGCCGAGCTGTAGGCGAAAAGTTTTAAGTCTCTTATAACGGGCGAAATATCGCCCGTCACCAATATTATTCTGTAGAGGAGATTGTTGCTTTCGGAGATGTCCTCCGAAAAGTCATGATCGACAAACACGTTGACGGCGAAAACCGACCGCTGTGCGTGGAGACCGTCGATTGGTCCAGTGGTGTTTCCCTGAGGAAAATAAGAGCACCGGCGACAAAGCGGAGAGACACACTCGCGGAGTCATACTCGAAGTAACATTATCGGGACCGTAACATTGTATTGTGTAATATTCGGATCAGAGGATCGCCGCGAATAAAGACAATTCTGACCATCTGATTAGTGCGCTTTGTGCTCATATATCCACGCCTCTTCCGAGACAGAAGTCTTTCTCTGCTCCACACTTAATCTCTCCCTAGTCCCTATACATACTGATTGTGAGATGACTCCATCTTTACCATATTTACCTTCGTGTACCAAAAGCTATTCTGAGTCACGAATGAAATTAACCACATTTGAATATACATGGAACATTGTAGGATTTGATCGTTTTCACGAAGCCACAAGTACACTACTATCTCCACCGTTTGCTCAAGATCAATTCAGGATTGAAATGAATAATTCACATCAAGATAAAATAATGAAATTTTATATACGTACTCTTACAGCGTTTACCGGTTCGTGTACTACTACTGTAACAGAGAGTTACCGCAAGTCGAATAAATCATTAAAATGTGTTTCTGGTATTATACATGATAAGACATTGTTAGTTGAAATTGGGCCATTATTCACACGGTTTTATGATTTGGTGATACATTGCAAGATTGAAATTTATCAAAAATTCATAAGTAACACAATGCATATGGATTTACCATCTTCCTTAACAATATTCAAAGACGTTTCACGTTTATTCAAAGACGTGAAACGTCTTAACAACTCAACCCTTAAATTTGACTTTAAGAACGAAAAGTCAATCAAATTTGTAGTAGAAGAGCAATCATACATTATATCAAAAAAGTTGTTGTGGGCTACCAACAGTAACTACTTTATGAATGTCTGTCTTAGGCATGAAGGGGAGGAAAAAGATATGACAAGTGAATTAGCTAAACTTGGTGAGATGCATACTTTTAAAAAGATTTTATCATATATTTTAACTGGCTCATTGTCAGTAGACGAAAGTGAATATTACATGTTTAAAGAATTGTTAAAAACATCTGATAAATATGATGTACCAACTTTAAAATTTATATGTGAACATTACTTGGTACGTTCTTTTACGGTTGACAATACTGTGGAACTTGTACAGCTTGCTTTTTCGTCAAACGCAAAAGTTTTAGAAACACATTTGGCAACTTTCATTAAATTCCATGAAAAAATAATTACGAAGTCTACAGCATTTCTAAGTCTACCACCAGAAGATTCAAATAAGATCATGGAACTGATTAAGAAAAGTAAAATACTCGAAGTCGAAACTTGTGATACTGTTCAGTGATACTATCATCTATGCCTTAAAAAATTTGCATTGGCTGTTTACTACAATTCATATAATATTATAGTTTTAATTATAAATTAATTAAAAGAAGAACGCGACAAAGATTTTTTTTCGTGACAAAGATTAATTTACAATGAATAAACATGTGTTTGGTTTCTTAAAAATATAGCTTTTGATTTTTATTTATGTAAGAATATATGTGCAAGTGTAAGTGTTAAGACACACTAAAAGTAATATTTTATTTGAACTTGTGTATACGAATAAGACTATTATTAAATATATTTCGTATAGGTTGCTTATAATTTTCTCGTCTACTTGTGTTGATCTAAAACGGAAGGAAATAAAAAAGTAAAAATTCCTTACAGACTTATGTCAGTTATGTTTTATAATAATCTTCATCAAAATTATATTTTATTGAGATTTTTAATCGTAGTTCTGTGGGTCATTCTGTGTACCTATCATAATGTTAGGAACTTTTGCAACTACCATTTCCGACGAGACAGCAAGCTATTTTTCATAAAGTTAAACTTGATTGTTATTTTTAATATTTGTCACCGTTATGCGTTTTCAATATTGTCATTAATTTGGATGTCAATAAAATGCAAGTAAATTGAAGTACAATTGAAATTAATAATTATACCTTGTCTTAATTTATATAGATAAACTTATATTTCGTTATTTATTTATCTTTATTTCTAGTTGAGTAACATATATTGAGCAAATTATATGACATTCAATGTAAAAAAAATACGTAATCCGATCATCAAGAAAGAAAATATTTACAAAAGTTACAAGGCTACCATTTGAGTTAAACTTGATAAATAATCAATTGATGGTTTTAAAGTGTTTAGATCGTGGTGCCCGCAGCTCGCCTGTAAGGTATTTGGAAGAAGTAAGTACACATATCTTATACATATACAAGGTGAGGAAAAAGTATGGAAACCTCTAAATTTTTCGAATACTATGCATTTTAGAAACAAATGTTTCAGACAAAAGTTATATTGTTTTAAGGGGGACATAAGTATCATTGGTTTGACCTTGCATAGTCGTTTGAAGGTTACATGAATGTAATCTTGAATTTTTAAAACAAAACCTGCATTTTTATTATATCATTTTTTTACACATGAACTTACTGCCTGAACTAACATCCTCCTTAACCCCTGAGTCTGAGAATGAGAACTTAATCAAATTTATAATAGGAACGAAATCGTCTATTTTATCAAAAAAGTTGCATTGGACTACCAACAGTAGCTACTTTATGAATGTCTCTAGTACGCATGAAGGAGAAGAAAAAGGTATAACAAGTAAATTAAAAACACATAGTGAGAGAGATACGAGCTTTTACGTAGATTTTATCATATATATCAACTGGCTCATTGTCAGTAGAACAAAGTGATTATTGCATGCTTAAAAAATTGTTAAAAACATGTGAAAAATATGATGTGCCAACTTTCAAATTAAGGTGTGAATTTAATTTGGTACGTTATATTACGATTGGAAATGACGCGTAATCTTGTACGGCCTGCGCTTTCGGTGAACGCAAACTTTTTAAAAACACGTTTGGCATTTTCTATTAAATTTCACGAAAAAGAAATTACGATTAGTGAAGTATTTCGAAATCTACCTGAAAAAGATTCACATAAGATCATGGAATTGATAAAGATCAGTAAAGTCGGTCAATACTTGTGATACCTTTTAACCACTATGACCGTTAAGAGATTTACATTTGCTAATATTTCTTTCATATAATATCACAGTCTTAATTATAAATTAATAAAATATGATAGATTTTTTTAAGTAAAGGTGTGTATTGTCTTTTCTAGAAAATATAACTTTTTATTTTTATTTATGTAAGAATACAAAGCAAATGTATGTAAGTATTAATACAAATGAAAACTTTGTAAGTTGAACGTACCTTGTAAACGAATAAAACTGTAATTAAATATATTTCATGTAGTTATAAGTTTCTTAAGTCTACTTGTTGATCTATTGTAAAATGAAAGGAAATAAAAAACCGGTCGACAACCCTTATCGGCGCGCAGTTGTAAAAAGTCGAAATAGACGCGTAAACAACTTCTATATACTGTGCGTCTATATAATGCGACTAATATTATCATATGCCTCGGTGGTCGAATTGATTGAGACTCCCGCCTAGAGAGAAGGGAGGTCCAGGTTCAAACCCTGGCTGAGGTAATATTTTTCGCAATAAATTTTCTGTATTATAAAAATGGCCAGATACGGTCAATAAAAATCACTGATAAAATAAAAAAATTAAGAATCCTTACAAACTTGTGTCACCTATGTTTATACATATGTAATGTATATTTATTTTTATCAATAACGTATCTTATTATAAATTTCCCAGTGTTCTGTAGATGAACAATATTAGATTCAATAATAGTTTGAATTTCTTTTATAAAGTTTTGCGGTTTTCATTGCTCGCTTTTATCTTATCTTGACAGAGCTAGAGCGAGAGCGAAAGAGAGAGAACGAGAGAGAGAGAGAGAATTATATAACTAAAAGGAAATAATAGTTACACAAAATATAATTAATAAGTTTCATAGCTGTGAAATATAATTAATAATAATTTTATTCATACGCACAAGTTCAAATTACATATTACTTAATACTTAGAGCATATTCTTATTATATTATAGAGTATATTACTTAACACTAGAATGCATATAAAAATTGAAAGTACAGTAGTAATAATATAAGTTATATTTGGAGAAAAGAAAAAAACAGACGTTTATTAATTAAACAAAATTATCATGTTCTATTTATATTTAAAACTGCAATATTATATCATTGACCTATCAACAGGTGGTATTATGGGTTTGGGAAAGCTGAAGGAATGACTGTTTTCATGTATTTCAATTTTCAATTTTTCAATCAATATCATTATCTTAATTAAATCTTCTTGCGATGGATTTGGAAGTTCTTCATCCATCAATTCTTTCATATGAAATTTAATAAAAGTTGCCGAATGCTTTTGTAAAGATGACGCATTAGATGATAATGCATGCTGTAGAAGTTCCACAGCATTTTCTTTCTTAAGATGATATAGCAAGTAATGTTCACACGTTATTTTTAACATGGGTACATCATATTTATCAGCTGTTGTTAACAATTCTTTAAGCATCGAATAATTTTGTTCTACTGATTGTAAACCAGTTAAAATATATAATAAAATCTGTTTGAAAGCTTTTAACTCATTTTGTTGTAACTCATCTTTCATATCTTTTACTTTTCCTTTATGTGTACGACAGACATTCTGAAAGTAACTACTACCGGTGTTCCACAACAATTTTTTTGATATAACATACTGTTCGTCTTCAACTATAAATACGATTGATTTCTCATCTTCATTCTTAAGTTCAAGAGTTGAGTCTTCAAAAGATTTCACGTCTTTAAATACCGTTTCAGAGGGTGAATTCATGTATACAGTGCTATTTATCAGATTATGAAAAACCTTAATCTTGCAGTATATTAGAGCCGTGTCTCTATTGAAATATACTCCATTCTTACAAAAGTTGTCTGTCGAGGCTTCAAGTAATAATGCTTCATTCAATATACAACCCGAGATGACATTTGAGATTTTATAACTACACACAGTAATAGCAGTAGTACATGATCCAATAAACGTTGCCTTAGTACATAAATTAAATTGTATCTTTGAATCTTGTGGTGAGCGTGAAATTTTAATAATGTATTGACCTTCTTTATCAAGTGGTGGAGATTGTAACTGAGTTATATTTCCATAAATATCTTCAAAATTTTCAATCTTCCATGTATATTCAATTGTAGTCATTTCAATTCGTGATGTAGCGTAGCTTTTGGTATATGCAGGTAAAAATAGTGAAGATACTTCTTGCGTTTCCGGATTCATCTTACTAAACGTATCGTTCATTTTCTGTGCGTCAGAAACCTGAAAATAATTAACTCGTTTATGAATGATAAAAATAATCTAAATATCCTAAAAGCCTCTGTTTTTATAGGTTAAATTTTACATGTAATAACATGTAAAATTGTATAAATAAAGCTATTTACAATCTGATTTCATCAAACGTGCATAGAGATTTTTCAGACATCTTACATTTAATATATTCTCTTTAACTAACATAATATTATGTACAAGACAATCATAAAATTGAGTTGAACGAATAGCGAAGTTTTGTAGGAGAAAACATTTTTATTAATCATAATCAATTTTATAAAACTTTTGTCAAACTTTTGCATTACATTTCAAGAATAATTAATAAATTGCTTTCTTGCCTAAGTTTGGACAATATATCATTTCCATTAAAAAAATTTAAAAAGACAAATTTATAATTTTATGCTTTTGTACTTTGATATGTATGTACAAGTTTTAAAAAATATTTCTTATGTTACATACAATTCTATTTTGAATTCTGATACAATTAAGTAAGATTTATTTGAAGATATTTTAAATTAATAACTTTCAAGTGCATTCAAATTATATACATATATTAGTAAAAAAAGAAACAGATTTTATATATGTAATGTAAATGTTTATAAATTTTTTTTATTATATAGAATGCATAGAATTATCGCTTTAAGAAATATCACGAATATATTGATTTGTTTGTACAAAATCTTACATACTTTCTATTAACACACACTCACCAAAGTTTAAGAACTCTTGAAACTCACTTGGTTCTTCTCTATTAAATGCGTTCGTCTGTCGTTGAAATATTTTGGTGGATTGATTTTTACTTTCTCCTTTATACGATATTTGAGCACTCTCTGTCCAAATAATATTATCAGATTAATGTGTATATAGATGTAGGATTTCCGAGAGGATTTATTTGATTCCTTATCAAGTTTCTAAACTATTACGAATATTATGAATATTTAAGATGTGGAGAGATAGTGAACGTACCAATTAATTTCTTCTTAGTAGCGAAAATGGCAGTAATAGCAACGAGCAATTACGCCGTTTACGATTCGACCAAGACGTACGCTGACAAAAGAATAATCACGTACTTGGTCACGTGGCTCTTTCTCAGGATATATGCGTGTGCGGTGTGTGCTGCTTCAGATTATCATGCAGACTAAGGAAGAGCCACGTATGTATTCGTACATACATACATATGATACACGTGGTCATTTCTTTGTTTATGTCTGTCCCTTCCATTTACATACCTGACGAATAAGATCCATTAGTCTCCGTAACTCGAACGTGACATCTCTCCGCATTGACTACGTTTATTCGTTGGTTGACGGTAGCTTGGCTGTATTGAATCGCACTGTCCGCATTGGGAATTGATTGCCATTTCCATTGGTAAGTAAAAGTTAACTGGTATGTGCATGCATTATTTCTTATATCTTGGCGTTATGTTTATAGTAGTTTAGTAAATTTATTTAATAAAAGGAAATGAAATCCCACATATGTATGCGCACACATTAATTTAATATCACTTGGACAGTGCTTGAAGCAATATCATAAAACAATTGAAAATCTCAAGATCAATCCAAAATATTTGAGCGATAGACGAACGCGTATATGATGGAGATGAACCAAGTAAGTTTCAATAGCAGGTCTTTTCTCAACTTCGTCGAATGCTTACTATTAGAAAGGTCAATTCTGTATCTTACACTACAGTAAAAATGCTAAAAGTGAGTAGCCTGTCTCTTTCTAATTGTTCTCTTAAAAAGCGACAAAGCCGCTCATTTTTAACATTTTCAGTATGTTGCAAGATACAGAAGTGAACCCACGAAGACGTTCGGTTTGCTTTTATCTATGATATACCGCCTCAAGAGGATATCGAGTCAAACGTGAATCGAACGTCCTATTCGCATTTGTTTCGGCGTATACACCTGCCAAATGATTACAACATTCGCATTCGCTGTTTGTTTCGTAGATGTATATCCAGCTTAAAGTTTTGTAGAAACGAATCGATACATTTGTCATATTTCCTGAAACGACAATTCCATGCATTGTACATAACGAGAAAATTTATTATTAAAACATTCATGTGTACGTATAAAATTTGTTTTTTACTACATGTGTATTGTATAATATTTTGAATGCAGTTGCATAAAAATTGTTAACGCAGAAAGTCTATTCCGGACAAATGTGTTATTTGTATCTAAATTCAAACTAGAAATATGCTTATATATAATACGAAAAATGAAAGACAACGTAGTTTGAATATACATGTACAACACCGAAGTACATGGGAGGTATAAAGTTATAAATACATGTAAGTCTCCTTAAATTAAAAAAATGAGAATTATAGATTATCTGAGACTGAGAAAAAATAGTTTATTAATTATTCTTGGAATGTAATGCAAAATTTTTACAAACTTCAAGTAATTATAAAATAGATCATGATTAATAAAAATTGCCATGTGTTTCAAGGCTTCTCATAGGATTTGGCTAGTCATTCAACTCTATTTTGTGATTTTCTTAGATGCTAAAATATTACAATAGTTAAAAAAGACATGATAAAATCAACTTTTATACATATAAACATGTTATTACTTATTACATGTTAAGATGTTTGATTCAACAAATCTTATTCAGAGGCATAGAGACTTTTAGGACATTTTGATGTTATTTTCATCATTCATAAATATGTTAATTATTTCTAGATTTCTGACCAAGAAAAAGTTGAAAGTATCTCTACTGAGAAAATCTCATTTTTACAAGGTTTACCTTCGTAAACCAAAAGCTGTGTTCAGTCACAATTTCAATTGGTTACGTTTGAATATACAAGGACAATTGAAGAGCTTGGACGTTTTTACAGATACACTATGTGGAACAAAGGTAGCTATACATTACAATCTCCCTCATTTGCTGAAAAAGGTGAATACAGGATTGAAATAAATATGTCACCAGATAAATTAAAATTTTATATACGTACTGATACAGAATTTACCGGCTTGTGTAATATTACTGTAAGTCCGACTCAAACAATTTCAGCAAAATCTGTTTCGGGTATTATACGTGGTAAGACGTTGGTAAATGAAGTCTGGAAATCAGATTTCCGATTTTATTATAATAAATATACGGTTACAGTACATGGCAAGATTGAAAATTTTGATAAATCAGAATAGAAAACTCAGAAGTTACTTTCAACATTTGAAGATTATATTTGCAGAAAATCTTAATTTTAAATTAAATGTATTTGAAACAATGAATCGACATGCAACATCGGCGTACAACTTAATTGTATTTCTTTTAAGTTTTCTTCTACCTTCGTACAAGATGGCAAATGTGTTATGAAAATAAGAAGTCTCGTTAGAGAGGCGGCTGAGGTCGCGCACTTTCCGCCCCGGTGGCGACTAATTAAGCACGCCTTGATGTATCTAATAACAACTAGGAGCTTCGAGTCACCCATGTCGTGGAAAATGAAGCGCTCGATCATGAGAATCTCTAATATAGCGCACTTATTTACAAAATTTTCGATCGCAACTTGTTTCGCCTCTAACGACACATAGGAGCGCAAATTTCGCGAGAGAATAGGATATATTGTAAATTTTATGAGATCTCTCGCCCTATCGTGAAACTAGATTATAATTTACAAATTATTTCTGCATACAAGAAATCTCGCATTATTAAGGAATTGTTTTATCACGATTTTTCTCGATTTTGCTGACGTGAAGTAGAACTTAGGAATTAAGCCAGCGTAAAAAATCTGTTTAAACAAAATCCATTTCATACCAATTTGGAAATAAAGTATCGGTAGTTACAATGAATAAGTTTAGTCGACCTTAATTGGCACGTGTTCAATAAAATAAAATAAAAAGATATACACTGCGACGTTTCGACCAAGGGTTTAGGTCCTTCTCAAGCACATTCTTGAAATTAATCAGGCCAATGTAATATGCAGTTAAACGATAAAGATCCAACGGAGTTGAGTCGTTGTTATAAAATTAACAGGCACAAAGATAAAATATGTACGCTGTCTACAAAGGCCGGAGAATGACTGTCAGTAGTTACATTTCTACAGTTTAATTCATAAAGAAATCTTGTCATTTGTCTTAATTTAAAAAAAAAATTTCGTGTCAAGCGTCAATAATAAATTATTCCGGTATTCAAGCGCATTAGTGGCGTGACATGCGACACAATCCAGCAATACGTCCATCTCGGAAAGGAAGCATCGTTCTTCGGTGTAAACCTTCGTGGAGACCTTCCGGTGAGTTGGGACCGGGAAGGGATCGGCGCGTGATAAGACCTTTCCAAAATATTATCAACCACCATGCAGCAACGCCGCTGCTGCTTTAACGCTCCGGCGGCGACGATCTTAATTATCGCGTGGCACCCCGAGTAACGAGGGTTGGCACGTGGTGACGTAATGTACGAGAAGGGCCTAAATAGCCGAGACTATTGTTGTATGTACAACGCGTACGTCGGATCTGTTGAGGCATTAATAGTCCCGCGTGACGTAATTAACTCGCGGCCGACGAATTTCCGGCATTACGGGGGGTGAACGGTACGTTCAGAAGGGTGTCCTCGGGCTCACGCTTGATACCGGAAGTGGGTCGCGGCGGCACCCGCCTTAAGCCCGAGGGCGCAACCCTCTCTCGCGAAAGTTCGACCTGAGAACCGCCGTTTGTTTACGCACAATGTGCGTTTAACGCGCGTGTCGGTGACGCGCGATAAGGATGTATAATGTACGGCGTATCCTCGATGCACCTTGCTCGGATATCTCCTCCGCTCGTGAAAGGAAATCTCTTATTTAGGTATTACAAGGAAATCTCTTATTTAGGTATTACGTCCCAGACAGCACACGATATCCTATGGATGTCCTGGGAACATTCTTAGGACATAAGGACGTCCAGAGGATGTCTTTAAAACGTCTTCAGGAGATCTGTGCTGTCTGGGACAAATGTCAGTTATATTTTTGAACGAGACAATATGCCCAGATAGCACACATAGGCCGGTATTCATAGTCGATTCTTATTTCAAAATCATCTTAAGTGTTGTCTTAAGACGCTAATACGGCTCTGCGATTGGTTGAAAACACATTAAGAGTATACTTAAGACGATCTTAAATATAAGAACGGACTATGAATACCGGCCATAGTTCTATGAATATGCTTCTGGAGTGCAAATATTCTTAATTTCAGAATATTCCAATCGAATACTCTATAAATATATGTATACAGATTATTACAATTAGAAATCGTATTTTCATAACAAAGAAGAACGTTTTTAGACTATTAGTCGAGAATGTCTTTGGTATATTCGTTCAGAGTAATTTTTTAATGTTCATCGAGTTTATGTACTGCACATTGTTTATTGTGTAATATATTTATCTTATGCAAAAGGCAGCGAAACCTGTGATCATACCGTATATAACCGACACGCTATATTCGATAGATTATTCTATTCACATTCGAAAAAGATTTATAGTAGCGCCAGTCGAATGTTCCACGAACATAAGATAAATATGTAAGAATGACCTACGGAATATTCCAAATATTCTTGAAGAATATTCTTAAAATGTCCACAGGAGTGTCTTGTGCTATCTGAGTGTAATCTTCTTGCTGTTATACAATATTAAACGGTTCTATTAAACTTTTAACAATGAAAATATCGTGGATGTAATAAGAAAGAATTAAATATGACAAAAATCATAGTTCTGTTTAAAGCCCACTTTACACGATCTATAATTCGCAACAGATTTCGAGACAGAATTTCATTTTTAAATTTTTATGTATCGTGTAATACAGAAAACATTTGAACAATCAGAATTATAATTATAATGCTCCAATTTTGTAAATAGAAAAGATGCGTCAAATATGTGTAATGCATGAAAATGCGTGATTGATTAATTGTATCTGGTCTAATGAAAAACCTTAAGCATTGATTGCTGTGAGTATTTGTGTCCAATCGGCAGGGAAAACGGACCTAATCCATATGTAAATGTTATAACCTACACTAACCTAATCTACAAACATATGTCAATTTAATATATGAAACTATAAAATAGAATTCTATCTTGAATTCTGTCGCGAATTATAGATCGTGTAAAGTGGGCTTAAATTGACAAAAACCTAACAGTAAATTCAATTTATACCTTCAGATTTATTAATTTTACATTATATAGAAATGGATTAATTTTTATTATCCTAAACAAAGAAATATAATCTCCCAAACGCACCCTATGTATTATATAGTTAATCAATTATTGTATTTCTTTGTGAATTTTCGAATATTTCTTGGTTTTTAAAGGGAAATCGTCTTCAAAAGTCATTAATTATGCGGCTGTGAATTGCACAAAATAAAAGTGCATAAAAATATAAAAGCGTCAGATAAGCATGCACCATAAATCTAGATAAGAAAGGATAGTTTAATCAGTTGTGGCGTTAAACGCGACTGGAATAGCGCAAGTTGCACTTAAGCAGGCGTAAACAGTTAGCAAATGAGAATTTCGCGCAGATGCGATCAGCACCGCCGCGGAAAACATTAATCTCCCGGCTTGCGAGGCGTGTTTTCTCCACGGAGCCGTTACAAAAAGTCAGTCAAGTCAAGAGACAAAAGTAGGTTTCATTTTCGCCGTGTTTTTCCGCCCCGTTAATGTTACCGCGTGCGACGTGGGCGAGCACATCTAATGGCTTCTCAAAGATTCACGACCGCGCAAAAAGCTGCGAAAAGGAACTGAGGGGTGGAAAAAAACGAAATGAAACGGCTCCGAGCAACGCGTTCGGTTGCAAAAATGCGCGCCTGAGTTTTCTTATTGACTAAGTACGTTTTGAATACTGAGACCCTCGGATATTCTTCCTTTCATTCTCATCGACTTCAGTTCTTGCCTAATAAAATTTTCATTGTAAGTACACGTGGCTCGTTAATAAGTAGATTCATTTACTGTGTTTCTTTTTTTTTATTTCTTTATTCGTACATAATAAAATATGCAATTAAATTAAACAGCAAGTCTGTTCTTCTTTAATTGTGCAACGCATGCATGCACATAGAAAAATATAAAATGCTTTAAAAATTTAGAGATTGCGATAAACCAATCGCGGGATTTAAGGCAACGACGTGCTAAGCATTATGTGAAAATATGATGTGAGATTCTGTATTTTTCTTATTCTAACAGATATTCATTAAGCACAGTTGGAAATTGCAACATTTCCATCTCAATCGAAATTATATAGATTCTTCGAGGTGTGATTTATTTCAGAGTTGGTTTTTTTGCAAAACTAATGCATGTTGTAAAATACATGTAACATCGTTGCTCTAAATCCAATATTTTATATAATTGTTTCGCTATTCTAAATAGATTATCAAAAGCGATTGAACACTGTCTTCGTGTATAAAAAGGCGCGGTAAATAAAATTTATTTTAATAAAATTTATATAATTGGTACGCTATTCTAAATAGATTATCAAAAGCGATTGAATACTGTCTTTGTATATAAAAAGGCACTGTAAATAAAATTTATTTTAATAAAATTCATTTTAATATAATAATATTTAAAAGACTTTTAAATTTCTCGGGAATAAATATATGTTATCTCGAATATTGCTATCGAATACTCAAGACAGATACATAAAGCAACAGGTTTGTGTCTCACTATTGTTCTGAACACTTTAAACTTACTCCACACTTATCTCGCAGTGTAATAAACAGATTTTATCTTAAAATTTAATTAGCTCCCAGTTAGTCTGCTTGAAAATTGAATTTAATTAATTATAGTCGTTTCACACCCCAATTGGAGTTTCACTGCATAAACTTCTTAACGTTTCTTACAATTAGCAAAATGGACGGATAGATATAGAGGTATGTATCTTAAACTATTTACATAAAAGGGAAATCCGGCCGCTTTTCAGATTAGCGTACGGCATATGGATGGATATATAATTTAACGTATTTACAAGCTGACTTGTTAAAGTGGAACGAAAGTATATTCTTTGGCAACTTTGGAGTTGATTTTTTTCTAACGATCACTTATGGAAAAATTGCATGTTACTAAAAATTTCAAAATACAAAGTTGAAATTCCTCGTTTTTTAATTATTTTAATGTACTTTGAATACAAACTGGACGTAGACATGTGAAAAGTATTCGTGGCTTCCCGAAAAGGGCTAAGCTCGTCTCACAAATCGCACAAAAATTAGACGAGACACGGACCTGAAAATAATTGCGCAGGATATTCAAGCACGATTGCAGTACTGCCAAATGTCTTGGCATTCTAACTTGAGTGTCTAATATAATTTATTTAGATGGTCCGACACATAATTATTTTCAGATCTGTGTGTAACTTTTAAATGCCCCAATAAAACTGTTCTTCCCGTGTTTTAATCAAAATTTCCCTGAGAGAGAAATCAACTCCGAAATTCCTCAAAGAAACGTCCGTGTCATTCTTTACGCGCTCACGTTAGCTACAATCTAAACTTCCCTACAACGAAAGCTCCAACATCGATGCTTTCTGGTCGCCATTGTTTATCTCACCGTTTTCGTCTCACGAAAACTTGAGAACTCTGAAAATCTCTTTTCACTTGAAACAAGATTGCGTAACGATGGCGCCGCACACCGAGAGGAGCAGCGTGGTGAGTGATATCGCGATGCCGGATGCTGCGTTGCAGCCGTCCTCGGAGCAGTAGCATTCCTGCCAGTAAACGCCGTTCTCGTGAACGCCCCAGTTGCAGACCCCCGTAACTCCGGTACTGGCGACCGAAGCGCATCGTCGGATCACCTGTCGCCACCTGCCGTCCCCTTGAACATCGCCGATTAATTAAATTAATTGCGCACTCCGTGTGCAATACGCGCGACTCGGAATTCGATGCAGAAATCCGCATACGGCGGGTATCAGCTAGTGCGTCCGAGTTTCATACTTTCAGGCTCAGTTCCACAATGGCTAGTTAATTTAGATTTTGACAAGTTGCATTTTCGCAAACTACATAAGTAAAATATTGAAAATATATAAAGTTTGTAAATGAATTTGTGTATGTATATTTTTAAGCTTATTTGCGAAAATGCAACCTGTCAAAGTCTAACCTTGTAAGTAGCTTACCAAATTTTGTTTCAGTGGTTGACATCACTACTTAACACCTAGTTAAGCTAACTAGCCACTGTGAAACTGGGCCTTATTGTGAAGAATTAAATTAAAAGCTGTACATTTCTGACGCGAGAGGTTTTAATCTATTATTCGGGATAAAATCATCGTGTCGCGCGTCTTTGTATATGTACATACATTTATTGTGTTTTGTGCAAATATGACACACGTAAATTTTAATAGAAAAGAATATCTCTCCATATATTGCAATTTATGCATAAATTATATTTATGAAGAAATATTTTTATAACTCGTTAGTATTCTCAATTTTTCATAGTTCTGTAAGCTTCTTTAATTGGTACAAACTGTACGGAACTTGATTTATTTATTTATTAAACAATAAAATTCATGAGGCTCTGACGTGCAATCACAATTCCAAGGAATAAAGGATATATTATTTCCTTTACTTCGAGGTTTCCTTTTCTTAAAAACAGAATGCCATCTATTCTCTTGACGTGATTGAGTTATGCATTTAAAAATTCATCTATTAATTTGAAGGAACAAGGTATATAAGAGCCAAGACAGGATGTTAGTGTTAAAATAATTAAAATTTTGTAATTTGTCGCGAAAAATTGAAATCATTTAGACACTAACATCCTGTCTTGGCTCTTATGTCCTTCATTCCTTCAAATTGATAAGTAAAATTGTTTAACGCATAACTTAATCACGTCGAGAGAATAGCTCGCATCCTTTCCTCAAGTAAAGGAAACCTCTAAGTAAGGTAATTAATTAAAAATCAAAATGTTTTGCGCGCAAATACGCCGACAATAATAAATACAACTAACCGAGGAAAGTAATTCCAATAATATTCCTTTTTTTTGTTATGAAAAATAACAATTCAAAGTGCAATAGAATATTTCTCTACCTTTTACTACGAAACACCCGGTATTCTTTTAATAGATATACTTACAGATGAAACCACGCGGGCTTTGCTCAGTGTATTTCACACAAAACGTGCCAGGCATGTGCGACTCCTCGCTGTTGCACTCGATAGGCACATTTCTCTCTTTGTCAAATTTCGTGTAGGCCCCGCAAAGGTCTTCCTTGGTCGACTCAGTGTCTTCCTTGACCGGATCAGTGTCGCTGCTGCACTGGTAACAGCGTATTGCTTTGGTACCTGCGCATGCCAGAACAACGCAACAGCATTAACCGAATGTTCTAGTCAAAGTATCCAATTAGAACAATTAAGTGGAACCCTATGACAATTAAGTGGAATTAATTTACTAAATTAAGTAGTCCGCGGTCAATTAATCGCATCTGGAGTATTATGATTGGAGTAATTGATGAGAACCTCATCATTTCCTAACCTAAAAATTATGAATACAGAGAAAACGCCTCTATATCACGTTTCTTAATCTCTTTTCTATAGTTTTGCTGACGAACGCTCGATTTTCTTCATTTGTTATTCCGTTTCTACTTTTAACCATAATCGTGACAAAATACAACCGTCGGGAAATATAAAAATATTTTTATTTTTCACATCCCGTATTATTTATTCGCATCATTGTGTTCTCTAAAAAATATCCGAATTTTATTCGGACATCCTCGGATAAGTTTATAGACGATTGAAATGATTCTAGAGCCGTATCAATCGTCGAAAAATTTTCACGCCCATCGGTAAACAACCGAGTCATGTCACAGGCGCGTTTCCAAAATGGCGACGGCAGGTGTCGAGGTATTTTAGACGCGCTTTTCCTTCCGTTTCGTTATCAGGATCTTCGCACGGGGAGTCTCTCACCTGTCGTGGCGAACGCCAAGAACACGCACAACACAATCGTGATATCGCTGCGCCTCATTGTTACGTCGCTCTCTCGGATTTTCTTTTCGGAGCAACGAGTGACGCGCGTGCTCCACCGCACTGCACGTACGCACCTGACGTCATTCATTGGGCGTAACTGCTATGAAATGAGCCGACGATCCCCCTCTCTTGACCCACGATTCCCCCACCCCTCAGGTCTTCCGCCAACGGCGGATCGTGCCGCGCGGAGGCCCCGGGCACGACGCGATTCGCCGTGCCCTTTCGCGGTAATCTCCAAAGTTTCGAGCAGCTTTTAACGGGAGAAGTTTAATTCCGATTAATACGCGATTTACAACTTGCAGCCGTTCCCGATCTTGCATAAATTCTAATTTAGTCTCTGAATTGAATCGACACGAAGAAGATACGCCTATAATCTGTTGAAGCGGCGGAAAGAATCGTTTTTTTGGCTCGTAAGAAAAAAAGGAGATGCGGTAAAAGAGAGGCATATTTTATGAAAGATCGCAACTAACGAAGCTCGTTAAGCAGTGAGCCAGCAATGTCGCCGTTCGCTAGGCCAAAGTTTTCGAATTAAGATAAGAGCGCGGCGAGCTCGCGGCTTCTTCAGATAGAGGCCGGGGAACCGTCGCTCGTATACTCTCCCCGATCCTATCCTCTCCGACAAGAACACAGATGAAACGACAATAAGAGCGGACAAAAGGTGCACGATATCATTGCGGATCGCTGCAAAATCGTGAACAAGAGTCTCCAGGGAGTGCGCTGGAGCGTGTCTTATCTGCCTCGCAACGATCTCAGGACGTTTCAATTTGTTCGCGTTTAACTCGCGAGGTGTCACGCTAATAATGGCAACGGCGCAGATAAATGCGAAAGTAATATCTAATAAAAGAGACTAAAGGATACATAGGAGAACAGGGGGACGACACAAAGGATGTAGGCAAAGAGATCATACATTTTGTAAGCCCTTCTGAGAGAATTTTGAATAAAAATGTAATTTTATAAAAGAACGTTGCGCTACGCAAAAAGCATATTTTTCAGTATAAAATAATATATTCTGAATTCTGGAACAGCATATTTTCTTTTTACGTAAAATTACCCCGAAAGGACGAAGTATGTAGATAATTTTTTTTTCACTACGAATGTGAAATCTGTACAGTTATTTTTATGTTATTTTTTACGCGTGACGTTGAATTTTTAAAAGTAGATACATACAGAATTAAAAGAGAGTGAATATATGTGTCTGTGATAAATTGCAACATATTCTTGGTCACAAAAATTTCAATATTTATAATAAATAATATAGAGATGCACATATTCATATTTTTACAACATTAAATTTTAATAAGTGGAAATTTAAATTAATTTAAATAAGAGTAAATTTTAATTACCATTTGGACGTTGGGAAAAATTATCAATCAAATGTAGGAAGTATCAAAAGTTCACACACACACACACACACACACACACACATTTCAAAGACTTTATTTCTCCGTTACACTCTTCCTCTCTACATTTGCGAAAACTTAAGCAACAGATTACGCTTTCGATAATACTGGACTAATTCGAGGTAAATTGATTTTTCCCTTTCCAGCCATGATCGCGAACGTATTTTCTGTAGGCCCCGGTACCTTTAATCGCATAAGAAGCGTTCCGCAGATCATTTCTTCTCAATCTCGCTGGCAATCTGCACCACCCCCTATTGCGAGAAGATGCGTTCCGAGCCATTGATCGGAATTCTCCCCTGATTGGAAGTAAACTCGATCTCATCGCAACCTTGACACCTTCTTCCTCGCCTCCCCACCTCGCCGCGCGAAACAGATAGCCTCGGTAAATTATTCAAAACGTACCCTCTATGATCTATGGAGGCGCCCCTAAGCCTGGCACTGGCAATCTATCCTCCCCGTACCCCTCTTTCTTCTCCCACTCATCCCACCGACTGGCCTGTCCGCTCGTACCGCAAAACTCACCTCTTCTCTCTCTCATCTCTTCTTCCGCCTTCTGGATCTTGCCGATTCTCCGTCCCCTCATCACCCAGTTCTCTCGGTTCCCCCTCCGTCCGTCTCCACCCTCCCCCCTCCCCGTATCGCTCGCCGCTTCTTCTCAACCGCGCACGCCATCCCCGGGGTATTCCGACTTTTCTGACAGCCGCCACCGCATTTATCCCATCCAACGTCTCCGGACGACGAGCTTACAAAGACGGTCCAGAATTCAATAAGTCCGATAACGCGCGAGTCTTTCACGAGTGTACATAACAAACCAAGCTAGCTGTTCCCGATAATCGCCGACGTATTGATTTCGCCAACGCGAACACATTTTGACATCACTCGTTGTCAGATCGCTTGGTCAATCTATAATCGCCCTGGTACCCCACCGATTTCTAACGTTCTTCAGGATGAAGAAGAGACAACTGAAGCAAGAGTTAGAAAGTCAATAAATGATATTTTAAAATTGTTGGTTATTGTAACACTAATCAATATCACTAATGTTGTTACACTACTTATTATATTTCTGTGTTAAGGGATCAATCCACTTTAACGGCCCAAAAACTATGTTTATCTTTAACAATGTTTTTCACAGTAAATGCACCATACAACGAAATAGATCTTTTTGGGATTTATTAGGGCGCTCTTAAATAACACGAATAAAAAAATGTTGTCATAATTTGAATAACTTTTTAATTAAGCGTTTTCTACACCGTTCGAATGGCGTGTCAAAAAAGATGCAAGTCCGCTGCGTTGGTGACTTTTATCACTCAGGCTTACCTGAAACAAAAATCAAAAAGATTCCTAATCTATATGAGTGTCGCTATGTCCCAAATCTCAATTAAGCATTTTTATTTAAAAATAACAAAATAGTGCCAGTTAGAAAGAAGTTTGAAAAAATACTTTTTAAAACTTTTTTCCAAACTGGCACCATTTTGTTATTTTTAAATAAAAATTCTTTATCTATATGAGTGTCGCTATGTCCCGAACCTCGATTAAGAATTTTTATTTAAAAATAACAAAATGGTGTCGGTTTGAAAAAAGTTTTAAAAAGTACACTTTCCCACCAGGCACCATTTTGTTATTTTTAAATAAAAATTCTTAATTGAGGTTCGGGACATAGCGACACTCGCATAGATTAAGAATCTTTTTGATTTTTTGTTAATGCTTAATTAAAACATTGTTTAAGGCA